GCTTTCGACAATTTGCAGACGCGCCGAACTAAGTGTATCGATGTAGGAGGAATGTATTTGATATTATTAAATAATAGTAATGATACTTGCAATAAATTTTGATTATTGTAACTAGTCCCGATACTTACTTATTAAACGGACCCTGTATTGTCAAATTTATTTTGATTGTTCGTGAATGTGCTATTGATTGGCAATAATAATTTATTTATTATAATCAGTTTATAATGGTATTATTACCTCACAATTGAAAGGTTTTTGCATACTTCGTTTGAGTCAGTTATATGAACTCATAAGTTTTTATGAATTTTTAGCTCTATTAATGGATCTGCCTAAATATCTTAAATAAATTAGTTCAAAACTTTTAAAAATCACATTAAATAATTGTAACCGACTAAACAGTATTACGCAAAAGGCTTTCTATTGCATGAACGTATTATGGTCATATACTAGTTGTAATCGATCATCAGTCATTAATTGGTAATGTAAATAAATTTAACAAAGTTGTTATGAGATTTTGGATAAATATCCTAGGCTATTTAATAGTAATTTAAATTTGGTTTTAGACTTTTGAATCATTCTATATTACAATTGATTATAATTTTTTTAAATTACATACATTGTATACACTTGATGAATTAGCGTAAACGTAAATAAATGGGTTTATAATATAAAATGAGAATACATTTTTTTTCTCGTTTTGAACTTTTAAATTGTTAATGATATATTAAGATTACGGGTTTTGGTATTTATAGAATTATTACTAGATTAATCGGATGTCGAGCCAATTTGGATTCAAAGCCTTGGAAAAATGTTCTAAACATTTTTGTATATTTCAAATATGGTTTACAATTTTTAAGAATTATTATTTTCATCGCTTGTAATAATTGATCTAACGCCTTGCTTTTAAACAACTTCTATACAAGGTGATTATTTTATTTAATCACTTATTTAATGGCAAAATTAAAATAATATTAGTTCTTTTCAGCTTTGTATTGAGCTAAAAAAAATATTGGTTTTACCATAATGTGATTTTTCTTTTGTTTCTCCATGAAAATTTTGTTTATTTATGTGTCAAAATAATAAAATTTTAATATATTTGACTTGCAAGTGATAAAAATTAGAAAAAACTATCAATTTCAGAAATTTAAAAAATATCTCAAAATTATGTTCCCATAAAATTTTACTTTCAAATAATATTTTATTTGCATTTCATAACTTTTTTTAAAACTTTGTTCCTAATAATACATTTATAAATCTATTATCTATATCTAGTCTCTGTAACTATGCCGCTTCCCTACTATGTGGTGTGCCTATTGTATTGGTATTTTTATATTTACGTGTACTTGTATTTGTAATTTTTCAAATAATTATCTTCATTTAAACATTTATACTCTTGTTAATTCGATTTTAAATAGAAAAGTTTTAATTCGGTTGGGTTTTACAATATTTAAAAAGTGTTTCCTTTAAGATTTATTTTATATGTATTCTATTGTATGGATAGATTGAATGATCAAAATGGTTTAGGAAATTTGTTTAAATTGGTATAAATTAAAACATGCGTCTATCATATTTAATCACAGAACTAAGTAATGAATAAAATAAAAAATTAAAACATATATTCGTCGAGGAACTATGGTGGACTTTCAATGGCGCACAATTAACGCGTAGGCAGTATATTTGTCATGGTGGGTAAGCAAGAGTATAGGTAACCAAATCGCTAGAGATCGGCTGTCACACGAAATTATGTACTCAACGGTGCCTGTGACAACTAGTTCACTAGGTTTTTATTAAAGATGCTCTCTACCAAACACATTGAATAAAATTAAATTTATTTTAATCAACCATGATAATATATAAAAAAAATTATTATCTATTAATTTAGCTTTTAAGATTTACTTTTAAAATTTCCTGGGAACTTATAATTCATTTATAAAATTTTAAACAAATACTGTTTTACACAAGCCTATACGGATGACTTGGCTATAATAGTGATGGGTATATTTGGGTACACTATCATAGACTTAGCACAACACTAAAAAAAGACTAAACACTATAGATATATGTTGTAGTAAGTATGATCTATCTGTTAATCCAAATAAAGCAAAGTTAGTTATATTCACTAGGAGGAGAACAGAACTAGATAGTTGTGGCATGCTTATTCTAAATGGACAAGAAATTAGTTTGACATCAGAAGTAAAATACTTAGGTATTATCTTAGATAGTAAGCTAAAATGGAAATCACATGTTGAGTCAAGAGACAAAAATAAACAATGACTACATTGTGGAATCTCTCAGCAGAGCCTTGAGAAAGACTTGGGGTCTTAAACCAAAAGTAATTTATTGGATGTACACTTCAGTAACTAAACCTAAGGTCTTGTATGGTGCCCTGGTCTGGTGGATCAGAACAGCACTCGTTACAGCCAAGAAAGAACTTAGTCGCATACAAAGAATGGCTTCTATAGCCATCACTGGAGCATTAAGAACAACACCAATAATTTCATTAGAGGCACTAATCGGATTACTTCCTCTGCATCTAAAGATTAAAGCTGACGCCAAAGCCACAGCATTAAGAGTCCACAACTTTGGTATTTTGACTGCAGAAAGCGACACAGCAGAACACGGTAAAATATTAAGAGAGTTAGACCAGGGTATTTTGAAATATTTCATTGGACTATATCAAACCGATTCTTAAGAATACTATTTCATACAAGGTCGAAATCACTACGCTTAGAATGGAATAATAAACACCTGACTGAGAAAGGAGGATTTGTAATATATACAGATGGATCCAAAAAATCATTAAAGGTAGGTACTAGCATTTGAGGTCTAAATTTTCGAATGAATGTTAGCATGTCAATGGGAACACAATAGTCATATTAATAATTGTTATATTATATTATAACTGTTATTTATAATATTTTGCCCCCAGGATAAGGTACAAAATCCATGGTTCTCCGGTTCTATTTTATAGTAAAGAAATGTATTTTAATTATCACTATTATTAAACATTTAAATTTTTTAATATGTAAGTATAATTATTTTTTGTAGTAAAGAATCAGTAGAAGTATTGAAGAGGAGAAAAATTAACATTTGTGTGGAGGAAACTAAGCGGAAGGCAGAGAAATCAAGGGAAATAGGTGAGGGTTACAAAATAATATACTTAGGTAAGTGTAGTACAAAGAATGGTGTAGGGATAATAATGGTTGAGAAGATGAAAAGTAATGAAGTAGAAGTTGCTAGGAAAAGTGACAGAATTGTAGTCGTAAAATCGGTATTCAAGGAAAAAGTGATAAATGTAATAAGTGCTTATACATCACAAGTAGTATGTGATGAAATAGATAAGGAAGTGTTCTGAAGAGAGATGGATGAAGTGACAAAAGGAGTACCTGGCAATGGAGATGTATTGATAGGTGGAGATATGAATGAATATTTAGGTAATAAGAGGAGAGGATATGAAAGAGTACACGGAGGGTATAGTTTTAGTGGGAAGAATGACACTAGAGAAAGAATCCTGGTTTTATCAGTATCGTATGATCTTGCTGTGATTAATACTTATTTTAGAAAAAAAGAAGAATATTATATAACTTATAAAAGTGGGAGTAATAGATCACAGATTGATTATTTTATGTGGAAGAGAGAGCGTAAAGCGAGTAAAATATTGTAAAGTTATACCAGGCAAGAGTGTAACTAAACAACATAGACTGATGGCAATGAAGTTGTGGTATATCGGGAAGAGAATATACAAAAACAGTAAGAACACAGGAAAAAAATCGAAGATCTGGTGGTGAAAATTGTAAGTGGAAAATGATAAAGATTTTGTAAAGATGGTAAAAGAGAAGACTGTGTGAAATGTCGAGGGAGACATAAATGATGTGTGGAATAGATTTGCTAGTTGTGTAAAGAATACTGCAAAGGAGATTGTTGGTGAGAGTAGGAGTAGAATGCCAGGAAACAAGAAAAAATGGTGGTGGGATGAGGACGTTCAAAAAAAGAAAGTAAGAAAAAGTAATTCAAAGTATGGCAAAAGAACAAAAGGAGAGAAGATTGGATGGAGTATAAATGCTTAAGCAAAGAAGCCAAGTGTTCCCAACAAGAATACTCACCTATTGCTGAATACCTTAATCTTCCCTCACTTGCTGATAACCAAAAGGCCCTAGGTACTAAATTCTTAAAAAATTTACTTGATGATAAAGTTGACTCTTCATCTCTTTTAGCGCTAATTAATTTTAAAATTCCCCAAAAATATCCAGAAATCACGCTTCCTTCTACTTATCAGTCTTCTAATTATATTTATAATTAGCTAATTAAACGTTCAATGAAAAATGTCAATGAAGACCCCTGTTTTTATTTCAATTAAACATTTATTTTATATACTTTAGTTTAAATTTTTGTTTTTTCTTAATGTTTATTATTTTTTTATACTGTTTTTTTTAGTTTCATTTTCTGTGACTATATTTTTGTATAATAAGGGTCAATCCCGTTGAATAAATAAATAAATAAATAAATATAAGTACTGATTTTATTTATTATTTACAAACAAAAATATTATTCTGATAGAAATATTTATAAAATAATACTTAATTAGATATTTTCTACAAAGTTATTAAATTATTATGATGTTAATTTTGATAGTATTTACAATATTTCTGTACTTCAGTCTTTGTTAAATAAAAATCTTACATATTTTTATTGCATGATATGAAGTAGGTATTATCAAAGAAGAAATTGGAAAACAATGCATTAAGCTAAAGTAATTGTAAATTACTCTAAAGTAATTCTAGATTGCATATAGAAAATCATAGATTTTGAACTATTACTGTAATTTTTGTATCATAAATAACAATTTAATAAATAAATGATAAAATAAAATAACTTTTAACATTTAAAATTATATCGATTCACAAAAGTTTGATTAAATTTATAGTTTAGTAAGAAATCAAATATAAAAGTAATTTATGTATTCATAGTATTCAGAAATGTTTTACTTAAATAATTCAATATTTTTGTTTCCTTAAAAATAATTCAATAAGTTAACTGTATAAAAATTTAATTCCAATTATAATAAAACTTAGAATTATAATATACATTGCATGTCAATGCGAATAGTAAATAAAAGTGTTGAATGACATGACAATTTTATACTTAATAAAAGAACAAAATAGGATTTATAATTGTTAGTTGGTAGATTTACTAACGATTTTTGTATTCTATAATACGTAGTATCTAAGAATATTTTAATACGCTAAACGTAAACTATATAAATAAAGTTACAAACACAATTTAAGAAAGAGGAATATTATAAGTGTCGTGCTAGCAAAATTGTAATAAAAGCTAAAACTACAGTAAATTTACTGCAGGACACTGAGCTACTACGTCCATTTCCATTACTATCGTTGGATCTAAAACCTGTATCAGTACCGCAAACTTTACTGCAATCTGAGTCTTCACAAATATCACACGGAGTAGCGACTCGTGGTTCATAGAAAACTCGAGCACGTCTCGCTAAAAAAATTATTATAGAATTATTATTGAATGCATAAAAGACATTTGACTATAATGACATATTGTGAAATATAAATTATGTTAATAGTTTAAAACTCACATTGATCGTAATAGTCATATACAGTTACAGGAACAGGCTTTTGTTTAGCGACTTTATGAGTTCTAAAAGCAGAAATTGTTGGACAATATTCTTGAGCCATCATCTATAATTAAAATTATAATATATAAATATAATAATAATATATTTTTCATAAAACAAAATAATCTTAAGCATTACACATTAAAAATTTTGTGTAAAAGTGGTAATTAATAAATATTAATTAAATATCATGTTTACCTTGTCAAAATATAGCATGACCATAGTGTCGCCTTCTTTAGTCTCGACACGTTTTACATTATTGGACAATATCAAACTGGGTAATGCGTCATTGTCTACTGTGTATCCTGAAGGTAAAGTTACTTCCATTACAGCCATATTGCTGTCATTACCTCCTCGATATCTGAAGAACAAAATGTATTATTAGGTCTGTGTAATTTAATAAATTATTACAACATACCCAGAGCAGATTGATAGTTGTAAATGGTTGGCGTCAGAGTTTTTATCAACTTGAGGATCTAATGAGAATAATGGCCATTTTCCAGTTACATTAACATTATATTTATAAGATACCTTAACAATGGCAAAACCAGAGCCGGTTGCTGTAATGTTAACCATACGTGTGCGTTTTGGAAGCTATGAGTTAATAAAGAAATAAGAAGTCATATATTAATAAATTTTGAAGGTGTTTTATTTAAATTAAAAATCACAGTAACAAACAATGCTTACTTCAATTTGTTGTAACGTCATAGCGTTATCTTTTGTGACTTTGAGCTCAGATTGTCCATTCTTTAAATAGTTGAATATAGCTGTCAATTTCATGGCGCCAGGTGACATCTTTTCAGCCATCTGTGAGAGGGCGTATAATGTAATAACGGTATCCTATATTGAAGCCAAAAAATGTTAGCTATAGCATAAAAAGTATAATAAAATAGTAAATCATTTTTCAGTACTTGACTAGAAGCAAATCCTCCTTGGTCGTTTTGCTGTGAAACAAGCCAGTGTAAAATTGGTAGAGCATCTTCAACTAATCCTCTTTGTAAGTAAGTTAATAGAGCGTAGGCGGTCATTTCAACATCGACGGAGTTTGGTTCTTCAATCCATGGATTTTTTTTATCTGTTGGTCTTTCCATACGTTTCCACCATTTCTTTTCATCTGTGTGTTATTTAAATTTGTTGAGATTTTTTTTCTGTACAAAAATTTAATTGTAACCTTTTCTTTAAAACTCACCCAGTGTATTAGCTTTTAATTCAAGTAAGTTAAATGCTATGTTTTTCTCCGGGTGTTGGGCTAAGTGAAGAGCGTATGAGCAAATAGCTAAAGCATAGGGATCTTCTACTCCTGGTAAGTTTCTCACTAAGTAATCGATAGCTTTATTGATAGTGTTCCTGAATAAAGGAGTTGCCTTTTGGTTTTCCAAAAATGCAATGAGTGTATAAGCTGTAAGAGCTAATCCTTTGGCTGATCCCCCTTGCATAGCACTGTGGCTTACTTTCCCTACTTCAGGAAAACTACCATTGCTTGCTTGGTTGTTAGCTAACCATTGCAAACCGTCTATAATAATTTTTTCTTCAATGGGTATGTAAGGCATTGCTTGTCTAAAAGACTTAACAACATACGCAGTCAACCTTTAAGATAAATTAGCAATTATTATTTTTGTTCGATGTAGTAAATTGATATTTTTAAATTTTACCAAGTGCTTCCATTGGCATCACTCATTCCAAAAGCACTGAATGAACCGTCTGTTCTACGATATGTTAATTCTTGTTGATATCCTGTTTCCATGTATCTCAAAGATTTTGCTTCTACTGCCTCAGTAAGTTGACGAGTGTTCTATATATAAAAAGAAAAATTAATATATACAGAAAAGTATTAAAAAATACTAATTATTTTATTTATGTTAGTCATTTTCACAAAGTTTACTTTTATAAAATAAAATGTTTAAAAATATGAATAATTTTTATAATCTTGAACTAATTATATAATGTATGAATTAGTATGTGCTCACCTTCAAGTAATCTAAGATAACTATATTGGGTACGAAGTTTAACATGTTTTGTTCTCCACAACCAAAGGGCATTTTTATCAAAGAAGCTAGATTCATAGTACTAGGGCCCAAAATATCACCTATATATATGAAATATTTTTAACTTTATTATTTCTACGAGTATATTTTTAAAAGCTTACCAACAGCGCCAATTTCAATATATTCTGAATCAGGTACTATGTTTGTGGGAATATCAAGTGTGATATTTTTTGCAAAAGTTGAATCTTTTCTGAGATCAACGAAGAAAGCTTTGTTTTTATAAATAGTTTCTCCTTCGGGCTAAAAATTAAAAACGTTAATTTACTTAATTCTATCTTGGAAATAGTAATTTGTTAGAAGTTTATAAAGTTGATATTAATTTAGTAGTTATTAAATTATAATGTTTACCTTAACCAAGAGCTTTTTATCAATTGCATCACCTGCTAATTTACTAGTTGCTGTTATCTTAAGACTTATAGATCCTAAATCTTTAGCTTTGATCAAGAATGAAGTAGGACTTCCAGTTCCAGCTTTAATTGACAATGTCTTTCGTTGATAGAGTTCCAGTTCTACAATATTTTATACATTTAATTTTTAACACCAGTATAAATAAAATATTGTAAACTACAAAGTGGCATTTAAAAAAACTCACTTGAATCTTTAATTTCATTTGAATAATCTGCAAATTCGAACTGGCCAATATTTTCTAAAGTCACGTCCGCAGTTACATCTTTGTTGAGATAATTAAATACTACTACGGGTATGGCAACTACTTCACCTCTTCTAACCGAATAAGGTAAATCGACTGATATAAAAAACGGTCTGAACACTCTCAGCTGTACAAAAATTAATACATATTTTATAATTTAAAATGTATTATTTTGAAAATTAATGAAACTAAATGGTTTATAAAACTAGATAAAAAGATAAAAAACTAAACCTTTTTGGGAGCGTTAAGAAGACCGAGTCCATAAAGGGAATCGATTGAGAATGCCTGTATAACCCAAGAGGTAATAGTGTCTGGTACTGTAGATTTCATAGATGCACGTCCATCTTGCCTATAATTTATAATTTAAATAGTAATAAATATCCCAAAATGGTTATATTGCTTTTATTAACATGAAATAATACAAAGAAATAAGCTAAAAATTTTCCATTTGTGAGGCTCTAAAAATGTTCAAATATTTCAATTAATGTAGTTCGTGGTTTAAAACTATCTAAATAAGATAATATCCGTAGATATTTAGAAGTGTGGTGAACCATTTTTGAATTTGACCAAAGCGAGTTTAAAATAATTATTCGTACACAATTTGTAACTGATTAGTAAGATTATGTGGTGCATCAAACTAATACATTTCATATGAAATTCAATTCGGACTTTGAACAACAGTTTTTTCAATAAAAAAAGTTGTATACAGATATTTAAACTATTTTTCTATTATTTTATAAAAATAATGCATTAAAGCAAATATATAAAGCGTAACAAATTGAAATTTAAAGTCGAAAATGTATAGCTCTTCAGAAAGTGTAAAGCGTGCATGATAAACTATAAGTCAAATGTGAGGAACAAAAGATGACAATTATCAATTCAATATTTTTAAGATGTAGTCATAATTATATTGTAATATGTAGTAAATTGAAAAAATTGATTGCTTTTAATTTTAAATTTAACTTGTGTAACATTTTTTAAGCACATAACTATGTTATGTGTCTTTTAAGGTAAAAATCTTACGACATTTGACTTTTATTTTAAAATGAAATTTATGCGTTTAAAAGAACAGCAAAAAAAAAATATATATATTGCACTTAGCCGTTAGGTATGTCCATACCATGTGGATAGATTAGCAAATAGCCAAGTATCTTGGAGACTGTGTCTTAAGTGCACACGGGGTTTGTTCCATACGGGAGCTGGTATGCGAGAAAACGCATAAGGACCAGCCAAGGGTGGTCGAGAGCCTGGCCTGACGACGATGGCCGGGCCAATATCGGGCTTCAATACCGGTTGGCCCGGCAACGGGATAGGTCTGTTGATGGGCCGTGGTTCAGCTAATAAGCTTTTGCCGATCGGCTCTGTTTAACATGAAACATTAACAACAACACATGATAAGAAAGTTTAGATTAACCGTCATTTCAAAAGGATATCAGTAAAATACAAAGGAAATGCAAAGGATACATTAACGGGTTACAAAATAAACACTTAAAAAAAAAAAAAAAAAAAAAA